TTGTCATCTGATTAAGAAGTTCCACATATTTATCATTAAAAAAAAAAGGCGTCGAATGCACAAAAAGACAAAGCTATCCAACAACTCATGTCAGTTTGTCAAGATATCATTCAGTTCCTCAACTTGTGCCTAACCTTATCCACAGACTTTATGTTTCCTGCTATCCAAGAACTCATGTCAGATGGTCAAGATATCATTCAATTCCTCACCATGTGCCTGACCTTATACGCAAAACTTCAAATACTCCCTCCGGATCAAAATCCTCTGCTGCACGACAGTAGGATCGTTCAGTTAAAATCGTAAAAATTAAAAATTAAAAAACCAATTTTTGTATATACGTACATACAAAGCCAAATCAAAACCAGACTAATTTTTTGTTTTTTGTTTTTTTTTTTTTTTTTTCCCTCTCTACATAAATATTTTTGTAACTTACAATTTTTTATATATCACAATATTTCCTTAACCTACATTTCAACTTTTTCCTTACTAACATCCCACTTATTGTACAAATACATAAATAAACATATCTTAATATAAATAGCATATCTTAATATAAATAGTATATCACTATATTTTCCTAACCTACATCATAACTTTTCCTTTACCAACATCTCAACTTTCTCCTCATCAATATCACACTATTCATTGCTTTATCTTGTTTGGGATACACGTTAAAAAAATATTAAGATGCTAGTAAGGAGAAAGTTGAAATGTACAATAGGAAAATGTTGTGATACATGACCAACTGCCCAACATTTTTCTAACAAGAGAAATAGATAAATAGTAAATCGTATTCTAAGAAAATATTGAAATGTATATTAAGAAAATATTAGGATATTATTAAGAAGAAAGTTGGGATGTATAGACTTTATATATATGCATTAAAAATTAACTTATATTTTTTTTGTCGTTTTTTAATTAAGTGATGCGACAAACTTTTTATATATACACTGATACCTTTGCAGTAAAAATTGACTTACTTTCTTTTCTCATCTCTTTTTCCTCTGCTATGCAACAACTCACGTCATTGATTGTCAAGATATCATTCAATTCCTGATCACGTGACTGACCTTATGCACAAAAAGTACCCATTATTATTATTTATTAATTTATTTTCCTACTATTCAACAAGTCATGTCATCTTATTCAACCATTTGCCAGATTGTCTAGAAGACCGACTCCAAACTTAGGTGAATTAAGTGGTAGTCTAAGGTCCCAATCAATAAAATTGACTTACTTTCTTCTCTTCTTTTTTCTTCTGCTACGCAACAACTCATGTCATTGATTGTCAAGATATCATTCAATTCCTGATCACGTGCCTGACCTTATGCACAAAAAGTAAATTTTTTTTTTTTTTTTTTCTCTGTTATTCAACAACTCATGTCATCTTATTGAACCATTTGCCTGATTGTCCAGAAGTGAATTAAGCGGTCGTCTAAGGTCCCAATCAATAAAAAGTCTCTAAAAATATTATTTTCTTATTGTGTTATACTTTTTTAAAAAATTATTTTCTTTATCAGTTACACCCTAACATTTTTATTTCCTTGCATTATTAGATAATCGAGCCAATAAGAAGACCCTTAAAATTATTATTTTCAAATCAATTAACTAATAATTGTGGAAATTAATTTATCAAAACAAATAACTAATAATTGTGGAAATTAATTTTTCAATAATTTTAAAATGATACAATAGTGAAAAAAAAAAAAAAAAATTATTCACTTAGATTTGCGGTGCTCTGCTTACTCTCAAACAGTTTCATTTAAATAATATTATTAATATATTAAGAGGTCATTTTTATAATTTTTGCCTAAGACCTCAAATTATATTAAGCCGCCAAGATCATGATACGATTCAATTCCTGAACATAACTTTAGCTTTCATCTGCCTAAAATCTGAAGCTTTCTGTGTCAATCTTCAATTATTAGATCCCTTCTTATCCAAGGTTCCAAATTAACACTACTATTTAGTTCAATACCTATAGTATGCTCATCTATGCAGAAAATTTTAAAGTCGTTTCTATAGTCTAGTTTCTGAAATCAATAGTATGCGAACATGAAATATGATCTTCTAAACGAGACTGCACAATGGACATGGTGGTGGAAGGGTAGCAACAAAAAAGATGGGCTTGCTCTAAACTAAATTCTTATATGTAGATATTGAATAAGAAGATTTTAGTTATCTTTTTATTCAATATGATTCAATATTATAGTTAGATTTTAATTATTTGATTTCGGTTAATTGATTCTTCTGTCCAATTCTAAGCTCTTATCTTCATATGGTTTCTCTTCTAATCACAGAATAGAAGGGGAAAAACAAAGCAACTACATTTTTATACCCCTTGCTGGTGGTATTCAGTCACGTACTACCATCTTTTCAATCACACCACCTTCAAATACTTCTTTCAAATTAATTGTCTCCGATACTCAAAAGCTCTAAAAAAGACAAAACTAAAACCACCTTTAGATTGCTGCTTCATCTTTTTGATAGCAAATAGGAACGCTCCATTGCAATCCTTGGCAGCTGCACTAACTTACAAACATGTCCCACACCCATACAATACTAAAAGTTCAAACAATAATCTAGGGCTGTGGATGATCGTCTTTACCAAGGTCGGTTCTAGCTGGGATGGTGTCTGACATACACACTTCTATCTGTGTTTGTCTGTGTTTTTAATAAATACGTTCAAAAAGATGAGCTTGCTATATCAATTCTCACTGTTTCAGTGGTGGTTTTAGCAATCTTCAGGTACCTATGGACATCTGTGAAGTCATGAAAAGGAGTGGCTCCATTGCCACCAGGGCCTCATGGCTTGCCAGTCGTTGGGTACCTCCCATTTCTAGGCACCAACCTACACAGAACATTTTCAGAATTGGCTCATCGTTATGGTCCAATCTACAAGCTCTGGCTCGGAAAAAAAAACTCTGTATAGTTCTGCTCCCTTGCAAAAGAGGTGGTTTGCGACCAGGACATAAGTTTTGCTAACCGTGACGTGCCCACTGCAGGATTGGTTGTCACATATGGTGGGCTTGTTCAGGGGCGGCTCAATACAATATGATGCCTTAGAAAATATTGAAAGTTTCACCAATTTTCATTTAAATATATATTTAATATTTAATTTTAATGTGTGTGTATATATGGTGATGTAACGAGGATGAAAAAAAAAAAAAAAAGATAATACAAGGATAGAAATATTTTGCGCAATATAAGAAAATAAAATATTTAGGTAAGTTGCAATGTATAAAGAAAAAAAAAATGGGGGGCCCTAAAAAAAAAAAAAATAATAGAAATCTTTAAGTCAACTGTCAAATTTCTCTATAAGTTGAAGTTTAATAATTAAAGAAAATACTATAATTATTTTAGGAAAGTTATAATATATAAGAAATAAAAAATTATGAATCCTTCTTATTGGCTGGGGCTTTAGGCAACCGCCTAACTCGCCTAAGGCTCGAGCCGGCCATGGGCTTGATATATTATGGAGCCCGTCTGGCTCCTAATGGCGCAATATGGGCAAAATGTTTGTGCAAGAGATGCTGAGTGATGTAGGACAGTTTTATTAGATTTTAATTATTTTATAATTTTTAGGTAGTTTATTTTTAGGTTTTTTATTTCCTTCTAGCATTAGATTCTTTATATTTTTAGTGTATCCTTTATAATTTTAGTGTTAAGTTTCACCTAAATGAATCTTGTGAAATTATTGAATTGTTACAAAAAAACCTACTTAGATAAAGTTCTAAAAGCATTTGATATATGACAGTGTAGAGGTAGAATTGCACCCATTGTAAAAGTTAAAAATATTTTGGTAATCTAATTACCAAGAAAATATCTATAGCAGTATTAGGTAAAAGGCATTTTTTATGCCTTTAGGAATCTAAGGTATTCTCAGGTTTTGCATATGGTTAACTATAATATATCATTTGCTATCGTAAAGTTGGATTAATAGTGAGCGGCAAAGAAATTTATAAGGTATCTACAAAGGATTAAGAACCATCATGACAGTATAAAAATTCATTTCAAGTATACTATTATGATAAGCCGGGGTTATTTGCATGTTATAAGGCCATGTTTCATGTATTATAAAATATCAGTTTTAGACTTTAGGTCAATAATTCCGCTACAGGCTTGTATTAAAAAAAATAACAAGAGTTCAAGTTGGTCTAAAATATGACTGTTAATATCTTGTTATGAAATAGAGGATACAAAACCAACTAGTGTCTGATTGAGCACATTGATACACAACAAAAGATTGTTGATCCCATGACTAAGGGTTTGCTGTTAATGTTGTAGAGTAAGTATGCATATTTCTCTTTGACAACATTTACTTAGTGGGAGGTTGTATTTGACTAAAGTAAAGACAATTTTATTTTGTGATCACAGTTATTATCCTCATTTACTAGATTTTTCATATTAGTGCACGTGTGTATGGAAAATTCGTGATTTAAGTGTCATGTTTTGAGACACGGTGTGTCCTTATTGAAACACGGTAGGCAAGGAGGCCAGCAGGGGCTATGGCCCCCCCACCCCCCCAAAATTATTATTAACTTTTATTAGTACTACCTAAAATAAAAAATAGTATAGATAAATGCATACTTAGCCCCTCAGAATATTTTGTAACTATAAATGGTTTCTAACTTTCTATTAAAAATACACTACTTTTTATACTTTTTTTTTTCCTTAAACCTTTCAACTAAGCCTAATTCCAATAATAGATAATATATTCACTTTCCCTTACTGTTGAAAGTTTTTTAAATTTTGGCTTAACGGTTTTACTGTCTGGTTTTTTATGTGTTTGTTATGGAAGTTTGACAAAATAAAAAAAGCTTCTTTAAATAACTAATTGATTGATTAATTTCAGGTTAATTGGTTATACGCTACCAATGGATAATATATGAATTTCATTGTCTCAAAGATAATTATTTGATCTTTTGTGGTAGTTATTTGGTCTTTTTGGTAAATTTTTATACATATTTATGTCATTTTTTACTGAATATAGGCCAATTTTTTATTTTTTTACACAAATAGACTTACAGTTGGTTTGATAAATTTTTGTATGACTATAATCAATAATATGGACTTTGGTGGGCTTGAGCCCACCAATATATATATATATATATATATTTCCTAGAGGTAATTTGAGCCCAACTTAAAAAAAAAAAAAAAAAGGTTTTAGTAGTACTAGCTCACCCCATAATAGATTAGCCCACCTCATTATGCAATTCTTGATCTGCCATTGAATATATAGATATATATATATATATATATATATGGCTTAAAATAGTCTTATATTAATTGTAAGTTCGTCCCCCAACTATAGAATCCTGGCTCCGCCCCCTAATGGTAGGACCGATGCATGACATAAATATTGTATTAAATAGATGCACATGCAATATATATGTGATGTTGGAGTTGAGTCTGTTAGTATCAGTGACCATTGGTGTCTTATATCATTGATATAATGACGCCCTTGATCCCATATTAATAGACTCAAAGGTATTCCAAATTGAATGGTAAATGCGTTTCTTATAAATATATGGATTAACTAATATAGTACACTCAATGATCATTTTGATCTTGAAGTGGTCGGAATTAATTATTGTTAGAATAAGTGGGAGAATGTAAGTAAAATTAATAGTATGCACAAACCAAATATTTAATTGATGTGCATTACATCATATTAATTCCTAAAAGTGTCTCATGAATAGTCACATATGAAAAGGAACCAACCCGCCAACCCTTGCCTATAAATATGTGTTAAAAGTCTGGAGAACATCACAGAGGAAGATTAAAGGGTTGAAGGTGGTTTCCAATCCGAATATGTCAGGAGCATTGTAATTCTCTTAAATAGAGTTTTGTATCGGGTATGTCTCCTAATTGAATTTATGCATTTAAGTCCATGAGTTTATTTATGTTTGAATTTTCTTACATGCACTTCTCTGCAGGAAATTTTAAAGTCGTTTCTATAGTCGAAGTTCTGAAATCAATAGTCTGCGAACATGAATTCTGATCTTCTAAACGAGACTGCACAATGGACGTGGTGGTGGAAGGGCAGCAGCAAAAAAGATGAGCTTGCTCTATCATTTCTCACTGTTTCAGCGGTGATTTTAGCAATCTTCTGGTACCTATGGACATCTGTGAAGGCAAGCAAAGGAGTGGCTCCATTGCCACCAGGGCCTCGTGGCTTGCCAGTCGTTGGGTACCTCCCATTTCTTGGCACCAACCTACACACAATATTTGCAGAATTAGCTCATCGTTATGGTCCAATCTACAAGCTCTGGCTCGGAAAAAAACTCTGTATAGTTCTGAGCTCAACCTCCCTTGCAAAAGAGGTGGTTCGCGACCAGGACATAAGTTTTTCTAACCGTGACGCGTCCATGGCAGGATTGGCCGTCACATATGGTGGGCTTGATATAGTATGGAGCCCCTATGGCTCCTACTGGCGCACTATCCGCAAAGTTTTTGTTCGAGAGATGATGAGTAGCGCCAATATGGAGGCTGGTTACAATCTTCGAAAAGAGGAGGTTAGGAAGACAATTAGAGATGTGTATGCCAAGATTGGCAAGCCTTTGGATATAGGAAAAATAATTTTTTTGACAGAACAAAATGTTGTGATGAGCATGTTGTGGAGTGACACACTAGAAGGGGAGAAGAATAGTGGTGTTCGAGATGAGTTTCAGGAGGTAATCAGAAAAATGATTGAACTCCTTTCAAAACCAAACATATCTGACTTTTTTCCAATGCTTGCAAGGTTTGATATACAGGGCGTGGAGCAACAAGGAAAGAGGCTTCTAGCAAGGTTAGACCGAATACTAGATGTTGTCATAAATGAACGGATGAGATTGGACAGTTGCGAGGGAGCAGGGGTGTCCAAGGACGAAGAAAAGAAGGATTTTCTTCAAATCCTTTTGGCGATGAAGAAGGAGAAGGAAGATACTGCAAGTCCACTTACCTTGACACAAATCAAGGCCATGATGATAGTAATTTCTTTTGCCAACATTTATAATACTGCATGTTTAGCTGATATTTAGGCACATCCTTACAACGCAGTAGGTCTCACCAAGATTTTATACTGCTATAGTTCATCTTATGGGTTTCTTCATTTATTTTTAGTTTCATTTAGTTCTAGTCATTCATTCTAGATTTTATATTGGATAATTAAATTTAAGCTTTTAACCAATGAAACAGACTTGCTATGCACTTGATTTAGATGGTATCCATCAGATGATTGGTCCTAATTGTAACATTCTTGAGTTAATACCAGAACATTTTATCAATCACTTTATCCTATAATCGAATTACCTTCATAGAGAACTAGGCCTATCCATTGCGCTTGATTGTGCTCTGATGCCATACTAAACAAATAGATCAATAAAATGCATCATATCCTATATATACTAGAATCAGTTTATGCAAACTGATGATATTGAGAATTGAACTTATGCTAGCAAAATGTTTGTAACAGGACATTGTGTCTGGCGCGACTGACACAACAGCAACCATAGCTGAGTGGGTGATGGCAGAGCTCATGTGCCGTCCAGGAGTAATGAAAAAGGTCCAAGAAGAGTTAGCAGAAGTAGTTGGAATGAACATTGTTGAAGAGCCCCATCTCCCCAAACTACACTATTTGGATGCAGTCGTGAAGGAAACATTCCGGTTACACCCTCCACTCCCTCTCTTAGTCCCAAAGACTCCGAGTAAATCTTGCACAGTAGGTGGCTACACTATACCAAAGAACACTAAGGTCTTGGTTAATGTTTGGGCATTGCATAGGGACCCTCAGGTTTGGGATGATCCATCTGAGTTCAAGCCTGAGAGGTTCTTGAGTGAACCGGGCAAATGGGATTACAGTGGCAACAGTGTTCAGTTTCTTCCATTTGGATCCGGAAGAAGGGTATGTGCGGGCATACCCCTAGCAGAGAAAATGCTTCTGGACATATTGGGTTCGCTCTTGCATTCATTCGACTGGCAAATGCCAAAGGGCGAAGTGCTTGAGCTTTCAGAGAAATTTGGGATTGTTATGAAGAAAAATACTTCACTGCTTGCTATTCCCACCCCAAGGTTACCTAGCAAGGAGCTCTATGCATGATACAAACTACTTCAGAAAATAAAAAGAGGCTACAATGACAATAGTGCGGACAGATTCCTCACTTGGTGTCAAATAAGGTGCTTCTTACAGCTGGTAGTTGTGAACTCTATAATTGCTGTACAATAACAATAGTGTCTCTCTTTATGAGCTTACTCGCTGTAAAATAAGGTGCTTCTCACATCTGGTAATTGAGAACTCCAATAATTTCTTTTCCTAGCTAATTCCAATATAGAAATATTGCCCAAGTAAAATAATTGGTGAATCAGTTTGGATGCAATACAACTTGTATGAATGTTTAGTGTACCAATTGCTCGAATTCTTCATAGAACAAACTATATCAACTGATTCTCATATAGCATATAGGGATTTAGGCATATATATATATACATATATATATATTCAGAAGTTCAAGCAAATACACTCGCCGACTATGATTTTTTAGCCCACCGGGGATAGAACAATCGACATCCCCAAAGGGGAGGAGAGCTTGCACTAGATATATTCATGCTTGTATAAGCATAGATTTAGTATAAGTTGATAAAATACATGAAGGGAGAGTTGATCAATATGAACTATCAGGCCTGCAAACAGGCAGGTCCTTCTCGAAGTTGGGCATGGTGCGAAGGATTGGATTGCTTTCGAAGAAATTAACCGGCTTCAGATCGAAGCTTGATGAAACTGTTGGCATTATAGGGTAGTCCTCCTGGCATGGTATGTGATGGAATCCCATTGTGTACCATAACACAATGTCCTTGTTCTCAATTGGACGATTCCTGTTTGTCATTATGTTTACAAAAATGAACATATTCAGTAATGCTGCATTTGATTAAAAGTTACATTAGGTTTCTGAATTTTGTACCTCTCAGACCATACTGCAAGTGTATCTTTTCCCTTGCTCTGGTATGTCAAAAGCCCACCAGCCCAATATTCACTCCGGTTATACGGAGTCACCCATATCTGTCATCATCAAGAAGAAAATTAAGCAAATATTGAAGACAGTTTGAAATCAAATCAATAAGCATTATGAATAGTAGGAGGGAGGTGTAGACTATACTAAGCCACACGGAGCATGAGAGTTGGAGCGTGCATAGAATGTGAGAGTGACACTCATTTAGAAGAATTGTATGACTTGGGATTGTGCCCTTCGACTCAAATATCGTGTTAACAACCTATTATTCTAAAAATTTGAATTTTGTATGAATTAATTGTGTTTTGTGAAGTTGTGTGCCATATTAGACCTAGGCTTGAGCCAACTGTAATAATGCATCATTTGGAGATTACATAATAGAGTCTGGATCCTCTGTAGTATAGCATGCGTGTTGTACTGCAGTGGACAGGCCTAAAAGTTTAAATTTTGTACCAATTAACTGTGTTTAGTGAAGTTGTGAGCCATTTTAGAACTAGGCTTGATACAACTATATAATAACGTCATGTGAAGATTACATTATGGAGTTCGGATCCTCTGTAGTACAGCACGAATGTTGTACTTACTATAGTTGACGGCTCACACATTACAATTGTTGGGAAACGTGCAATTTTTAAAAATTTTTGAGGGATTTGTAATCATGGATCTTGATTCATCACATAGAGATAAGTTTTATGCAAAAATAAATAAAAGATGATGTATCATTCAATAAACAGATTGAATACTTACATCAAAGGTCTAAGTAAACTTTTTAATCTTTCCTCTAAAGTAAGTGTTCTCACTTATTGTAGATCCCTTTAGCAAGATCATTTCTTCTTCTTCTTGATTATGATCTTCCCTTTAGGAATCACGAATATGCCTTGATGAATGACCTTGGAATCAAGGCTTGTGGTAGCCTCCTTTAGAAGAGAAAACAAACCTTAAAATCTAGAGAGAGAAAGTGTATTCCTTTTTCTTATTCTCAAAGTCACACCTAAAATATACATGGACCCATGTATATATAGGCAAAAAATTAAATAAATAAATATAAGAAAAGGAAACATTAAGTCATTCTCCATCTCTAATTCAACTTTCTCAATTCTAACAGGACTCCAATATCAACTTAGGCTATTGGTGAGAATCTTTTTGGGCTTACTATTTTCTTGGCTCTTATAAATTAATAATTGGTCCGGTCCATTAAACCATGGACCCAATTCAATTAATTCATAAATTAATTTTTACCTTACTAAAAGAAATTAATTGCACTCCAATTAAATGGTAAATAACCTCTAAGTCAATGTTGCACTTTGATCCCTCTATGCATAATTATTTATCTGATAATTAAAACCATCAATCCGATAACATAATTAATATAATTATTTTGTTACCTTTGATTATTTTTGGCTCGATCACAAAAAAATATTTATTTGACAAAAATAATAATTTACTAAATAAATATATATAGAAAACATTTATCTAAAACATACGAAGGCCTTCGAATTTAATTTGTGATCAACCATAATCAAAACAAAATAAATACAAAAAGCACTGATGCAAATATTGAGAATATAGACCTCTAACTATTAATTACATAACTACCCAAAGTGCCAATCTAAGGATCCCAAGGTATCTGCCGAACAAAACAAAGTAATTATTAATTAATAAAAGAGTCTATACTTCTCTCATACTTGAAAGTCAAAAGCCATGACTGTGATAGAGAGCAATTGCATACGACAGCTCTCACAATATATCTCAATCTATCGTGGACTCGGTTCAAGTCTTAACAAATTAAATGTCCATCCATAATTACCGACTTTGAACCATTTATGATTACTAATTTATAACTTAGTATTAATTGCCATTACATACATATATAAATATATCTTGTAATCAAGTGGACACAATCAATTCCATAATGAATCGAAAAATAATACATTTCATTCACCAATTGTATAATGTTTTAATAATAATATTCAGATAAGGAATCATGACTTTTACAATCCAAAATAAGAATTTGATATGTTAGGGCACACATATCCCAACAATGACACCGTGTTGTAACAATATAGGATCCTAATTCATAACGGTAAATAAATAGGTAGTGACATCGTTACAAATGGTAACTGATTGTTAGTGAAAGCACTTCTTAACTGAGGTGGATCTTGGAGATCAAGCAAGCTAGCAGTAGTTGCGCCAGGGACAACCTTGTACCCTGTCGGATTTCCCAACCTTGACCTCCTCGAGGGATTAACATGAAATTCAGATAGATCATAGAGCTTAACCTTCATCCGGGCATCATCCTCTGTCTTAGCCACACTTCTCTTAGCTTTCAAGTAACTCTTTTTGGGTGATTGGCCTGGTACAGTCTCTTCCTTCACAAGATTGACCTTAGCAAATGAATTATCAGAGCCATCAATGTCCATGTCAAGGTGGAAGGTGATGTAGTGGTCATGAACCACACCAATGACATTCTTAGACACTAATGGACCAGTCATCTCATATTCATTTGGCACTTGATTCACATTCTCATAAGAAGTACGTCCCTTTCACCATTAGCATTCTAGATAGCCCAACCTATTTTGAACAATGCATGTATAAGTTAAACATCATATATGATGAGAAATATATGTACGACTCTAGTATTACGTCACGACCCAAAAATCCCCAATAAAATCCTCAATTTATACAAGTCTAAATACATCAAAATACATCCAGGATCATAAAAAAATGTCCTCTTTTATACAAAATCAATTTCCTCAAAAATATACAAAATTCTCTAAATAAATAAATAAATCTTGCAACGCGGACTCTTTACCCTAAGCCCGTATCTAGCAATCCCCGTTCATCACCAGTACCTGAAACTAAAGGGTGGTAAGACAAAAAGTCCCAGTAAGAAAAACCATAACAAGAATTTCATGGAGGTTTAATAAAACAACTTCACAAAATATACAGTCATATGAGTATATAAGCAAAATACAAATGCATTTAATTAAAACATTTAATCAAAACTATTGAAGCAAAACCACTCCAAGCTATTCAAGGTATAGAGAACCCTACACTGAAAAAGAATTTCCTCACTGGATCATTAACTCCTCAAGCTCCAGCCACCTCTGCAACCTGGGCTTCTCTCTGCAACTTTCGTCTCTCCATGTACTCCTCAAACTCTCTATTTTTCTCTCAGCTCACAGCTCACTCTATCTACAAACTCTCTAATTTTCTCTTCTGTTCTATATACCCACCAAGTCACAAGCACCAAATTTATAGACAAATTGTACCGATACAATCCCACCTTCAGCTCAAAACCCACGTGCATAAAGTAGCCTAAGTAAAAAAAAAAATGGTCTGCCAAAACTATATCATTTTTGTCAATACAATATCACACTCTAACCCACGTGAACAGCCATCCAACCCAAATGAATTTTAACCACAACTCTCCTAATGGACCCTACCAAAAGTCATCACAATTGTCCTTTCTCAGATCACTTTCTCATCTCTATCTTCATTATTATCACAACAAATCGGTCCATGTGAACAAAACCAAATCAAAAGAAAATTGGACCAAAAGGTCTTCAGTGGGCCCCGCCCCATTACTTCTCTTCTTTCCTTCTTTTTCTTCTTCTTTTACCAATTTTGCCGCCACTGCTCTCTTTCCTTCTCCATCATCAAATTAAATATATATATATATATATATGTATGTATGTATATATATATAAAACAAAACAAAAATAAAAATTCATTTACATCATTAGGCGGACCCCACAAATACTATCACCATTACATTTCCCTTTTCTCCTCATTTAGGCTGATCTCACTTCCTTCATTTAGACAACAAAAATATATATATATATATATATATATATATATATATATATATAATGCAATAAAATTAAACCAATAAATATCTCATTTATGGGTCCCGCAAATACCCATTTCTATTTCCTTTTTATCTTTTATTTCGCTGGTACCTTGCTTGCTGCCACCATCAAATGTTACACAAACATACATATATAAAATATGTAACATAAAAATAAAATAAAAAAAATAAAATAAGCTAAATTGCAAGTCTCCAAAATTAAATAATCAATCTCTAATAATTAAAAATTATGAAATAAAAATAAATTTAAAATCATAAAAATCCGGGTTATCACAATCTCCACCACTTAAAAAGAATTTTGTCCTCGAAATTCAGATCTAACAGTCCGTATACCCGAAAGCACCAATAAACACAAAACCAAATTCATAAATCCTTAACCCAGGCGATGTGAGATACAGTAATATGTAGGACGTTGTGGTAGCTGACAGTGCTAATCTGTAACGACCCGAACCCGTAGGTCCGAACCGTTAGTCGAGTCCTTAACCGAACCCGTGGTCAATTAGAGACAACACCATTCTTTCCTACGTCAACACATATTATACGTGTCATTCTGGATTTATAAAAAAATAAGTAATAATAAATAAATAATAAAATGTGATTATAGCTACAAAGTATGCCACAACGGTTTACTAACCCATCAAACCCTGTGGAGGAGCGTCGTCCGTCACTTGCCATCCGTATCCTGAAAAAATGTTAAATGTAATGGGGTAAGCAAACTGCTCAGTAGGTAGCGCCTAAGACCTAACTCTTGCAGCTCCGTGAATCTAAACAATGAATAGGACAATAGGGAACGGGGTCATACAAAGCCGGAAAAAAATACAATATACATTTTTAAGTCCAAAATAAAAGAATGTCGTGCCATGAATGCAATGTCATGTATGTCACTCCCTATTTTCCAAAACCATTCCCATCATCATTTCCAAACCGTTAGTGAACCCGTCCCATGGCAACTCCATGACTGCACGAGCGGAGGATTGGTCACTGTCCCTGACCCATGGCAAATCCATGGCGTCATGACCTAGGTAACTCAACCACACTAGGGCAAACTCCCTAGTCCCCTCTAGGCCTCACTAACGCCGCGGTCCCTAGGCAACTCCTAAGCGGCCGGGTTTTTTCAAAATCTTTTCATCAAATTCTCTAAAAAAAAAATCCTTTGTTTTCATTCTTATCAAATCTTTGTACCCTTTTTCATGCCCATGCTATGAATGCATATCACCTATCTTTTTAATACTATGGAAATAGAGAGAATTATTATCACACAATTAACATACTGCCACATAAAATTTCCAATAAATTATTAAGCATCATAGGCATGGAAAAATTAACATATTAAGCATACTCCACAATAATTCTTAGAATATTTCCATAAGCTTCCATGTATCATTTTTAGCAACTTTGTCAACACAATAACATAAAGAAATTAATAATGAAGCATGACAAGTAATTCTAAGGAAATTTCCCTAAGCTTCCATATATCATTTCTAGCCAATTCAATAATACACCCAATAACATGCTCCACATACCCAAGTAAATCAATTTTAAAAAAAACAATCAACTCAAATTAAACATACTTAACATGGATTATAGTAAAAAATTCACAAAGGTGCAAGAAAAATGGGAATTAGAGACCCCTACACTGAAAAGGAATTTTCCTCATTAAATCATCAAAGCCTCAAGCTCCAAGACCTCCTCTACAGCTCTAGAACCTCTCTGTAATTCTCGTCTCTCTGCTTTCCTCATACTCTTTCTGTCTCTTTCTCTCTCTCTGTATCACTTTATTTGCAAACTCTCTAATTTTTTTCTATCTTCTGCCTTTACAACGAAGTCACAAGAAGATACATATATAGAGGAAAAAGCACCGACACAAATATCAAAATACTGCTGCTCACCAAACAAGCCCACGTGAACAGTATCATTACAATTTCAAAATATCAACTTTTCTCTTCATTCATGTGAACCTTATAAACTCACCTACACAAAGCCAAAGTCAAGAAAATCATGCCCAAGCAATCCTCCAAGTGGGTCCCGCCACTAGCATTACTAATCAATCACAATTTCATTTTTCTATCTTCAATTTCGTACCTGCTCATTTACATCTCTATCTTCCATCAGATTGCATATTTGATATATATATATATGCAACAAATCAAACAAAACCTTACCTTATCAATATCTCATTTCTTTCTTCTTTTTCCACGCTGGCTTCTCATTTCGGCAGACAACATACATATATATATATCATATACATACCAAGGTAACAAAAAACAAATCAACCATTTCTCCTCTAATGGGCCCCACGAAAATACCATCACATTTCCATCTTTGCTTTCATTCCTTCTCAAATCTCGGCTGCCAGGTGCCTCATCCTTCAACAGATAATACTATATATGCAACAACAAAATATAAACTGTCACCAATTAAAAAACTCCAATGGATAAGTCTTCAATTATAATTAATCAAATTAAATATGATACTAAAAAATATATATATACTGAAATAGATTAAATCTTAAAAATTCGGATTGTCACAATCTCCACCACTTAAAAAGAATTTCGTCCCTGAATTCAAATCCAACAGTCTTCGCATATCCGAAAACACCTAATTCTAACTTATCCCTTAAATGATACACAAAACCCCAGACAAGAAATCCTGTCCGTTGCACAATCAAGCTCAAATTCAAAACTACACATCCCTGTCAAACCAAGCACTCGTTATCTACTGCACAGCTACACCGTCGCATAACCGCACCAGCGACTACCAGTCGCACTATACGACAATCATCATGCTAAACAGCTTCAATATGGCTAAACAACAAATTCCACAACGACTACATAATCATGAGTCACTAAAATAATAAAACGTATTGTCCTGTACCCAGGACCTAAATCCTCAAAATGAGATATTCGATAATCAAATGGTCGAACCACAACTTTTTATTGGATACTTGGTCCTACCTAATACACCTCGTCACCCGAGACAAACCACCTGAATCCACATTGTCATGCCAACATAACCCGCAATACCGTGCTCTCACTATTCGTGACACTTCAAAATAATCATTGACCTTTGACCCGACATCGTGCTAAAGATGGACTGACTCAGGAGAAATGGTTGGCCAGGCCATTCTCATCATCATTCCAATCTCAACACAAACGTCGTTCCTGTCCTCAGGTCTAAACCTCAAACACAAACCTACACAATTCATAAAACAACTATAAGATCCACTCACTATCCATCCATTACTATACACAACCTCAATAAATATACAATCATATAACAGCTCTAAGAATCTCAATCATGCCTTAATCACACAATCATAACAAACTAAAAGCGACACCAAACGTCATAATCAACCAGTATAAGGATCTCTGATCTTTTCTGAACACCGATCCCAGGTCGACGACTCCATAACATCATTCGGTTCAATTCCTACTTCCTCAGAACACACAATACGACTGTCTCATGTCTGAAACCTCAAAACCAAGTCAATCATTCATATTATTCCTCAATAGAATCATATTCACTTTCTAGCTACATAACACCCAAACAATACTAACACTTGTCCTCAAGATACTGGTCAAATCTATAGAAACACCCGAGACATGATTCACATCACATTACCTAACCATCCTTAAACTTTCATTCATGACAAATTCTTTGCCGCCACCACCCATATAATCCCTATTCGACAGCTCGCGTCTCACACACCACCGATCAAAACCATACTCTAAACGGGCGAAACAGAAACCCAAGACTCCACCTCCCTCCGAGGGAGTGAGTCGACCCCTTTTAACTAGAGCATCTACCGTTAAACCCTAACAACATAACAAACCACACACAGGTCTGTTCACCCACGGACGCGCATAACTCCTAAACGAAGAGCAAGACTTACGACAAACGACATCCTTACCAGGACTAAAACAAACGAAAAGAGTAACGAACCCCGCTTTCACAAGAGACTAATGACTCACATCTGAATGCACCCGACAATCTGTCACACGCTACTCATCGTTCGTCCAACCATAGACACCCAATCTCTCCAGAGATGAAATGAACTCCTTATACACAGGACAAGAACCAACTTGGAAACACATACGAGACTATGAACACCAATCTAAGTGACCTCGCTATTAACGGACCGTCCTACACAATTAACACAGAAACCTCGCACACACTTCTCCGCAACACTATGCTAACCGAAACCAATCAGATAAAAGCACCAACGCCCTCAACATACTAACACTAGGAACCATCACTGTACATTAGACACCGCGTCCCATCCTACCCAATAATCTCCCAATGAGAAACTCTATGAAATACAATGACACCTGATCACCTGTTCCACCCCTACCCTTTGAAGGTAAAATTGCCTCGATCATCGTGCACACAAGACCCATGACCTCCATCACAATGACCCACTGACTCGTCAAAAGAAAAGGGTGCCTATCTGGCAACATCGTCCTCACTGACTCTAATGACCACACCATCCATAATCGCCTCAATTGAAGCACAATCCATCACCTACCTGACAACACACAACAAACAACTCGTAATTTCCAAACCATATTTGGATCATACCTTAAACCATTCTGCTCATCAGCACTAAGTATCACACTACAACACCATAACACTAATACTACAACTCATTCTAACCACAGTTCTATCCTATCATCCCACCGGACCATCAAGCCACTACTAAAGGATTTTTCCTTGAATATCTTTGTGATAACATCATCGTAACAAAAGAACAAACATTACTCTTGATACTCCCCACAACAATCACTGCATACCACTAGAAAAGAACCTCAATACAACAATACCATACCGATAAATCCTCAAAATAAAAATGAGCATAAAGCCCAGAATGCTCAACACCCAACTATCACCTGAACACCATCAATGATACCATCAATCATTAACGTTTAACTAACAACTTATTCTATTTGTTCTAAGGCAGTCTACGTGTCTAAATAAAAAAACCTCATACTCTAAGTTCAACGCCATTACCTCCCTTCATCACTGTTCCTTAGAACACTATTGAACCCGACAAAATCAAATGGCGTATCAACTAAGCCTACAAGATCAACCTCATTCCACTTATTCTTATTATCAGTCTACCTTTCCGGATCTTCAAACACCGAGCACTATCTCCTGATACGTCAGACACAATTGAAATACAACCCGAATCCATAGCTTTTGAATTCTAAAACATAATTCATTTGATAACACCATACTCACCGGCTATCACTTCATCCATAAACAATCAAGCACTCCAATGACCCCATACTACTTGCCTTATAGTGCAATACTGCTATACACAACTAAAACTAACCACTATACACCACATCGAGACTCTCTAGATAGCCGTACCAACCCAGAACTTCGCTCATCGACCGAGCCACGCAATCGACTCACCGAGAGTCAATTACCCATAGTACACACTCATGTAGTTCTCCGATACGAGGATCACCCCTCGACAAACCAGTCTCTATGACAACTAGAACCAACATGCCCCCTAAACCTTACCAAAGGATTCATATCTACAACTCATAGACTACATTTGTGACTTAAACAATCTCTATCACACCTACTACGTCCGATTCGTTAAGAACCTCCGCACCAAACCGTGACCCAAGTCACTAACACCAACCTCCTATGGTTATACTGAAACGCTCACCCACACACTTGACCTCCACGATCACCAAAACATACACCAATACATGAAACTCACACACAACAAGGGCACCTTGCCAAGAAATATGAATCCACTCAAAAGTCATGCTCCAAGCACCGCACAAAATACAACTAAGAAGATCAGGATGACTATATGCCAAATAGCTCAATCCACGAGCTAGAAGCCCATGCCATTAGTTCGACAAGAACCGGTACCCAAACCCTGGAGCAACCGAGCTCCTTGCCTACTCAAGTCAAAACTTACACAACCATCCTATGCTCGACCGCATAAACACATAAAAATATAGATATGCATGTATACAAAATGGATAAAACCACCATACGATGCTCATTACTTGTCACATTAACATAAAAGAAAATTGCACTGACCGTGCTTACTTCTTGCCACCATCATATGTCTCATACTTTCCGCCCCATTATATATGGCATGTTTGCAATTAACATAAACACTTTATTTACATGTACCACAATTTAAACACGTATGCACTTAGCAAATAGGCATACCTTTCAAAACAATAAACATTTAAACAGGTAACAAGTAAGCATGCTTCTTAAACAGTTAAGCACTTTAACACATAGGCACATAAACGATGCAAGTCAACTCTCTACCCCTTCTAGGTAAGCAACTACCCGTAGTCCAAAAGGTATTCGAACCTAAAGCTCTGATACCAAATTTGTAACGACCCGAACCCGTAGGTCCGAACCGTTAGCCTAGTCTTTAACCGAACCCATGGTCAACTAGAGACAACACCATTCTTTCCTACATCAACACATATTATACGTGTCATTCTGGATTTATAAAAAAATAAGTAATAATTAATAAATAAATAATAAAATGTGATTATAGCTACAAAGTATGTCAAAACAGTTTACTAACACATCAAACCTTGTGGAGGAGCGTCGTCCGCCACTTGCCATCCGTGTCTTGAAAAATGTTAAATGTAATGGGGTGAGCAAATTGCTTAGTAGGTAGCACCTAAGACCCACCTCTTGCAGCCCCGTGAATCCAAACAATGAAAAGGACAATAGGGAACAGGGTCATACAAAGCCGAAAAAAAATACAATATACATTTTCAAGTCCAAAACAAAAGAATGTCGTGCCATGAATGCAATGTCATGCATGTCAGTCCCC